GTTTATCGGACATAACTCGGGCAGCAGTTGCAGCAGGGATGTCAGTCTCGCGGGGAACTCGACAAAGGTCCAGGCTCTGTGATCAGATATTCAGTGCCTGACTTCATCCACCCTTTTTTCTTGTGCAGGATGAATATTATGGGACCATCCACGACAACAAATTTTTTCCTTTCTTCCTTGTACGGGCTCCTGAACCAAATCTTCCACCGTGTATTTCGAGAACACCCTTACACACAACTATGGTCCGGCGCAGGTCAAATTTGAGCAGCGCACTTTCCTATGACGTCTGATTTGAAAATCCGGCGCTGATTTTCACCACTCGGGCTTCTTTTCAATTTCTCGAGAACTTCTTCTGGGGCTAGGTTCGCCAAATTTCACAGATACACAGCTTAAGGTACTAGCTTCCAAATGGTATAGTAGCCCGCTGCTCTATCCCCTTTGCTTTTCTGCCATTCCTCTATATGTAGCGGCACGTTTGAATGGGATGACCTAATAGCACAGACTCCAGTGGGTTTCTTGCCGAGCGGTGTGCTAGGATACTTAGTGGACGGTGAGAAGAAGCAGCACCCTCTATGGCTTTTTATTTTATGTGGTGGTGATCAAAGTTGGTCTAAAATTGGCCTGATTCCTGATGATTGGGGCTAAAAGGTAAATAGTGTCATTATTATTGTTACTACTGGGCGTGGAGCGTTGTAACAAAGGCGAGAAGTGAGACCAAACTCGTGACTGCAGTACGAGGTCACTGACGTCATGCAAACAACTTTAAAAAGTCACATAAATCGCCTTTTCTATTTTCACATACTAAAGCATGATGATGGGTCTTTGCCGTCATAACAAGTCGGCGCTATTTAAGGGCGGAAAGATAAAGGTGCTCAGCTGCTTTTCTCTGAATAGGGTGTAATTCAAGACATCCGAGGAGCTGCACCAGCTATTATTCCTTGCTAGTTGACTCATCACAACACTTTTGCATTGAATCAGCATTGTCATTGCAGCTGACATTGTCTTATATCGTTTATTTGACCCTTGTATAATTTCTTATGACGCTAAATGTCGTTTCTAGTCAACTAGCTAGGGACGCTGCTTGAACGCGACAATTCTCGAAATTACCTCTTAAAATTCGCTGCAATTTTCTTTGTGATCCTTGGAAAAAACTCATAGAGAATTCTGTTCTCTCCATTACTTCCAGCGGTCTGCAACACCGCATATACCCAGGGTGGAAATGGCGTGGGCAGCGGAACTTCTTTTCGAGTCGCGCTTAAACATGCGTTTTTTTGGAATATCCAACATTGAGGCGAAAGCGCTATGCGTCATTATCTGTGTTCTGCACAAAGGCATGATTGCATTTTCGGGAACGGAAATTAATTATAAGCAGCAAGCGCCGACGCCAAATACAAATGAAGTCCGCAGCCACGCCCACTTCAGCTCAGGAATAGGGGGCGTATGTATGTTTCTGAAGAAAATACTTCAAGTTAATCACCTACTCCTTTCAGATATGCGCGTTCTCTTCGTCCACTATTGGTGACGCTTTTAAATGTACAGTCCTCCCATTCCCTTCAGTTCGGTGAGTTTTGCTGACTTTTTAGGAGCGATTGCCAATAGTTCCGGCCCCCCCCGGGGGCATCCCGACGCAATTCTTCAATAATTCCTCTTCTGAAATGAAAAGGCCGCTGCAGTAATGCGTGGCGCAAGAGGGGATTGAATTATGTGAACTTTTCGCCCTTAGGTTTTAATATGGTTTCTCAACCGGCTCATTTCAAACGTGAAAATTACAGCCAAAAACCATAGCCAACACATTTTGGAGGTTCTAGGGGAAACCTATAGCAGATAACTGCCGAATGGGAACCTCCATAGGGGTTAACGTAGATGGGAGGGGTGGGACAAGCTACCTCACACGTGGTTTAGTCTGGCCACAGGTATTACTTCTTTAATTGTCTTGAATAATCTTTTTTCCCTAATTACAGTCAAGACGACTGGGGAAATACGTACGTCGGTACGCCGGAATCGCATATATGGATAACGTGTGCCACTCGAGGATGCTCAGGAAGGAAAAGGAGATGAGGTAAGCGATTAGGAATAGGGTGGGTTGTACGGTAGGGGGCGGAGCAACACATACAGACGTGCATGATTGACTGGCTCGTATTGTTTTCGGGAAGGTAGTCAGCGATCTATGAGGAAAGGTCTTTGCTATAGGCTTTTCCTATCCTTAAACTCGAGGGGAAAGGTCCACAGCAGTCCTACGATTTCTGTTATCTCTGCGGATGTTCTTTATCGATCTCTTTCTCGCCAACGCTCTGGAAAATTTATCAGAATACTGTAGTGCTGTGCGCAGAGTAGTTCCTGCTATCCAACAGCACATACTGGAGAAATAGGAACAGAGATGCAAAGTGGCTAGAGGTAGAGAGATAAGGGACGCCGGCAAACATAAGAGTAGTGAGTGGAAGGTCATGAGGATATGCCGGCGCAGTTTGTCGACGAGGGGGCATTTTCGACCCATCTAGGTAGCCGTTTCTCGAGTTGACACGTTTCAGGATAGTGGCTAGACAATTTCACTTCCACTTCCACGAGTTCACAAGTTTATCAGAAGTGAGCTTTGTTAACCGAAAGCTTAGGGAATCCTTTGTAATCCCGGAACTAGGGTAATCAATGATAATTACAAAATGCCCCCCCGGTCGACAAACAGCGCCGGATATGCCCCGTAACCGCGACGCAGCTGTGCGCGTCTGAGATGCTCCAGTCCTTCAGCGATTACGAGATAATGGCTTTTTCTCAGTGTCTTCGCTTCAAATGCTCATTCACTCCATGTTTTCAGGTTTCTGCAGCAGCTGCGAGAGCCTTCGCTTCTTCATCATCCCTTTCCATCATGGCTGCCACATACTGACGGCCCCACTCAACCCGTTTTTCCTCAAGATTCTTCTGAAAAGAAAGAAACTTTCATCTCCTTACATCAAACAGTTTGCGCTGCTGAGCCTTTACGGATAAAGCTGAAGTACGAATTCCCTCACCTTATGCAAATCGCTTTTCTCTATATGTTTCCTCAAAACATCAACACTAGGAAATGCTCGTTTGCAGAGGAGGCACATCTTCTTTGGCTCGTCTACCAACGCACGTTCCATCATTTCCCTATGCTCTTGCGCTGTTGGCAGATGACGGCGGGGTGGAACCGGAGCTTCTGGAGTTTCTGTACGTTCTTCTTCTAAAGTTTCTCAGAAAGCATTTACAATCTTCAGGATGTACAGACAAGATTTCCACAAAATTTCGCCTTCAAACTGAGGCCTACACTAACCAATAAGCTCACCTTCAGCAGCTTCAATTGGCTTCTTCTCATCTCCAGAGCCATCTTCTTCTTCGTCTGAGTCGCTCACGTTGGACAACTTAAGAGATTCCTAAATAGTAAAATGTTTCAGAAAGACTTAGATTGAAATCGATCATTACTTTCCTCACCTTACTCTTCTCCAGCATTTTATGTACAATATTAGCTGCACCAGTTTGACCTCTCTCAAATGCACTTTTAGTCTCTAACGGCTTAACTAATGGCTTCAGGGACATCTGGACTTTACTCTGCTTTTCTTGCTTTTTTGCCCATTTCATCATTTCTTTGGCGATGTCTTTCGCGCTTTTCTGCAAAGGATGTTCATCAGGGAGTTTGATGTGAAACGTACGCTGCCGTCAGAATTGGTCATGTACCGGCGCATCATCTTGTTTTTCCTCTTTTTTCTCCTCCGCTGGCGGAGCAGCTTCAGCAGGTTGGGCGCTAGCAGGTTGAGCACTTGTGCTCGCAGTTGAGCTACTTTCAGCCTAAAAAGTATTCGTTACGAAGCAGTTGAGCTACTTTCAGCCTAAAAAGTATTCGTTACGAAGCATCAACTAATATCTCGCAGAAAAACACTACCGGAGGCTCTTCTATCGGGAAATAGGTGCTGTAGGTAGCATCCCATGTGCACCATTTCCGCGTTTCGTTGTTGTAATAGTAACCAGTCTTTTGATCATAGTAGAACTTCGTCTCAGGATCAACAAAATAACCAGCTGTTTGATCAAAACAAAACGTTGCCGGATTGGGCGTCACTGAAATGCGAGCAGACTATCAAAGGTTCAAGCAGTAATCGCACCACAACCAACCATATTTGGAGAACACTCCTCGAGGCGTCGGCGTCATATCCAAAATCATTCCAGGTGCTTGTGATCAAATGGTGGCCGTCGCTGCGACTGCTGGCTGAGCCTGCAAATGACGATGCCTGAAGGCATCACTACGGTTAAATGTAGTCATCGTTCGTACTTGTTGAGCCACTTGTTGTAAAGTGAGCTGCGCTTGCGGTCCCAACAGTGCTGCTTGTTGTTGTTGCTGCTGTTGCTGCAAGGCGATCAGATGTTTGCGGTGGTACAGCGATATTAAGCTGCTGCAAAAAATCAT